TGCTCTGCATTTGTAACCGCCACGTTTGTACACAGGGTCAGAATGAGCTGTAGTGTAACTGTTTCACTTACTCTGTGATAATGAAGCTTTGTTGTTGTGCCTTAAACCAAAAGTTCAGAGCCTGTATTGCTTTAGTAAAAACTTTGTTCCATCTGTAATGTTTATGGCAAATAGTCAACATAGTGAGTGACCGTTGCTCTTAATTCCGTTGTCACAGGTCCTGATCCTCCAAATGGCCAGAAACCAGCCAGCCATGGCTCTGGAGTTCCTTGATGCTGCAAAGAAACCTGACTTACATCCAGGTAATCTGTACACTTAGCTATATCAGTAGGTTAAACTATTCTCTAAATTAGGTTTTGGAGTAACTCTGGTTTTCAGTCATTTCAAGTTGACAACTTTTACAGTCAATGTTGTAGAATTTTTATACTTAAACCCTGCACAGTCTGCATTGAATCCTGGGAAGACTTATTCCTGTCAACCCTCGCATTGAATCCAGGGAAGACTTATTCCTGTCAACCCTCATGAGGACATTGAGGTGAGTGTGTTTGGAAAGCAACTTGTGCTTCATTCCAGTCATTGTTTGAATATTTTTGTTTCAGAGGGACCATCTTCCCTGACGTGGATTGTGCTGGAATACACGGAACTGAATCAGTTCCCTCTGTCTGATATTAAAACAGAATAGAGTTGCAATGGCTTTATTGAAAAGTACAAACAGGTCCCAGAACAAGGACTAAAAATTGTTTGGTTTTTTGAAATGGCACTGTTCAGGTCTTAGTTCTTCACTAGATGCAGTGAAGAATTAAGACCTGAACCAGTCCCTCACATCTTGGATATTAAAAGCAGAACAAGAAAGTCAGTTGTAATAGCTTGATTGAAGAAAACCACAATGAAGATGGGGCCTGGAAATTGCACTCTCCTTCAGCAAGTACCATTTTTTAAATGCTTAAGTTCTGGCCCAAAAGGTGGGAAATCTCTACTGGCAGGGCGTCAAGGCAGAGTCATACTGCATGTGCCTGGACCACAGTTGTAAAGACTCCATAACTGGTCCAGGTACATGCAGTATAACAGCATGGAGAAAAATGTGAGGTACTCTGCCTTGAGGTACCAGTAGAGATTTCCCATCTTGTCAAAACCTCAGCAGCTGGCTGGGATGAAATGGATGGTTGCACAGGGATGGAGCGGCTGCAAAAAAAGGAAAAGCTTTGTAAACATTTGATTTCAATAATAAATGGTGCATTTATAAACAAACTTGCCTGTCTCTATGCATGTCTTCAATGCTGCTGATTGTCTGGCCACTGACATCTGGTTAAGGATTGCCTAAGGGGGAAATGGAAACCGCTAGAGTTAAGCATGATATGCTCTGTAAATTCAACCCATGTTTTGGTAAGTTTGCTTCATCTCTGAATTACTGGTGGCAAGTCCCAAGAAAAGGCTGTACTGCTGACATCATCCCTCTGCTGGGTTCATCGCCATCAAGCCTATAAGGAACATTAACTTTTGTTTACCCTCAGTTTATTAAACAGGCCATGCCAATTTAATCATTAGTAATTTAAGCTATGCTGCCATTGTAAAGCACCACTTTTTTAAAAATAGGTTCCACATTTAAACAATACTAAACTAAATGTTAAATTTCACTTTTGAAAAGCTTTCCACAGCAATAAGATTTTAATGTTAACATATTTCAGTGGTCTGAAGAAATTGCTTACCATCTGAATTGTCGGGAGGTTTATAGTGGGAGCCCACAATGTTTTGGGTCATCTTCACTGGGCCGTGTGCCTCCCAAGTTCTGGAGTTGTACTCAGCCAGTCTTCAGGTGCACTGTACAATATGGAAAGTGTTGAAATACATTGTTTTACAGTTAAACTTGCCTTTCATGAAAATAGTGGGGGAAATAAACTACATACATATTGTGTACATCTATACAAAGTATGGTTAGTCCTACTGTTGTGCACACGACCAAAATACAGCAAGTAACATCAGTAATAAAGTACTATCAAGTACTAGTACAGTCTATAATTCTTTGAACAAAATGTAGGAATATTTTAGAATCTGCTGGTTTTGCTTATACCACAAGGTCTATATTCAGATTTTAATATGACGCCAACACCACATGAGAAAGCCTGTAATGGTCATTAAAAGCCCTACAAAAGCTAGTGAATCCACCTCAAGTGGGATTAGTGTCACCTACCTTTATTCATGAAGAACAAAGACATCCTTCATACAACAATACAATAAACCACCACCCCATACACTGCATCCTAAAAAGGCCCACCCAGCGCATCTCTGAAGATGGAGACTATTTTGTACAAATCTATGTATGAAATCACACCATTGTTTCTGGTGAACTTACCCATCCACAGCTTAATAGAGGGGTGTAGTGTAAATTTGTTCTTGAAGGAAAATGTAAACCACGCGTTTCCCATTGTTGATCATCTGGAGCATCTCGTTTGTGTAGCCAACAGTCAGGATCCTCTGGCCACCTTGAATGTAGAATAAGACAAGTGCGTCACAAATCTACGTGATAACATTTTACAACGACAATGTCTTCATTTGAAGAACACAACATTTCATTTCTGGATACTCCAAGACCTTTAGTAATCTATATTTAGACATGACATTATCTCCAACAGGACACCATTCTTTAACGTGAAGTTACTTACTGGTAATTTTTGATATTAAATCTTGGCATTGCTTCCACTGTCAATAAAACCTGATATTTGAATGGGATCTTAATTTAAACATAACAGGCTTTTCTGGCCGTTCATTAATGAAGACTGGCAGCTAATCTGTCTGGACTACAATCTAAATGGAGGCTCCATCTTACACAGACGTGGCAGAACAACTCTGTACTCACGCACTTCCCAAAAATCAGCCTCGTTTGCTAATATGAACCTGCTAAAGCAAAACAATAGCGCAACGGAAGACTAACCACACATGGAGCTAGTTAGAGGACACACACCTGGTTTGCCTTCAGCCCCAAAGGCTGAACGTTACACGCCCACATGAACTCGAAATTATACGTTTGTTCAGATGCTTTACCTCAGTAACAGCTAAGCACCTGCATACACAAAGAACGCTGCACATTAAAATTTAATTGTTATAATCTATGCCACGCACCTCCGATCAAAATATATATTACCACCACAGTTTGTCAAAGTCAGCTTCTTACACTTTACATTTTTCCTGCTTCCAACACACCAGCATCAAGAACGGAACGGTCACTTGCTGTCTTATATACCCCCCACACTGACAGGCGCCACTGTTACGAAATAATTAACGTTATTCACTTCACCTGGCAGTGTTTTTTTCTCATCATTATCTCCTTCTTCTTCTTCTATCATCCAATGGTGGTTGGCAAACAGCTTTAGCGTATTACCGCCACCTTCTAGACTGGAGTGTAACATCATAATGTTATGCCTGATCGGTGTTTATGTAGTACTGCTTTATTCGGTACTGAAACTCTGTCACTGGTTTGGTTGTCTCGGCGCTTTGAGAGAGATAAGCTGAGTCTTCAAAGCAAATAGAAACTGAGTCGACAGAGATTTGGTTTGACACTGTTGCATTCAGTATTCGATAACATTACTAAACTGCAAATGAAAACTGTTGATGTAAGCGCTGTAACATGAAATTGATGGGAGTCAGTGACGTGCGGTCAGGGGAGGCAGGTGAGGCAGAGCCTCCCCTGTCAATCTTGAAAAGAAAAAAAAAGTTAACCAT